ATCTCATCATCAGCTCCATCTCATTTGTTATTGATTCCTGCTAGTGTATTCTCTATTTCTGATGGCGTTTTTATGACTTCTATATCCTTTTTAAAGGTTACTATCTTTTTGAAGTTCTCACTGAGTTTCTTGACCATCCTTATAACAGTTGTTTTGAACTCTATATCTGGTAGATTGCTTACCTACATTTTTCTGGAGTTTTCTTGTGTTTTTTCATTTGAAAGATGTTTATTTGTCTCCTCATTTTGGCTGCCTCTTTGTGCTTGCTTCTATGTATTAGGTAGGTCTGTATGTCTCCCAGTGTCTGCCGGGTGGCCTTACATAGTAGGTGACCTGTGGGCCTAGTGGCACAGTTTCCCTGATGACCTGATACTGGGGCCAGAAGAGGCTGCAGACAGATGTGCTGTGTCCGTGCTGCCTGTGTGAGACATTCACTCCCGACAATAGTATTTATTTCTCTGAGTTGGAAACACACTCTAACCTTGAAGTGTGTGTGGTGGTGCTTCCTTCCTGCCACTGACCAGCCACGGGAAAGGCTGAACGCGTGTGTGTTACAGTGAGCACTGCGCTGTTTAAAGCTGACCTCCGGCGCCTGGCCATGTAACCCGTGCCCTGAGCAGTAAATAAACCATGAAGCCATCAGGAAATCTATGCTCTAGGAGAGCAGTCGCCAACCTTTCAGACCATACGAACACCAGTGGCCCGCGGACCACTGGCTGCTCTAGGATGCTAAATCATCCAAATTTATGTGAAGTCTTTCAATGGCTCCTAAACCATTAGAGGTTGTCCAGGACAAATGGAATGAATGAAGCTCTTTTGGTTATCATATGACAAAACAAATACCAGAAAAGGAAAGCAATTAAAAACAAAACTAATCAGATTACAGTCCATTGTCTGAACACTAAAACCCCCTCTTCCCTCAAGAAACCACCTTCTACTTTTGTCCAATTTGACACCAGCTATTGCTCAGAAGGACTCCATCATTCGGAGTGGTGAGAGCAGGTATTTTAAAAGGAGAAGCCACCCAGTAATGGTTCCCCTATGAGCTGTGTCTCTCAGAGTGTCTGATCCCTGAAATTCCGGGATGGCCCTTTTCTCCTCCTGCTGGGAGGGGGGAGAAAGGGATGGCTGTCCTTAATTGTTGCTTAGTTTGATTTATTAAATTCAGGGTCATTATCTAGAATGGGGTAATCTCATTAGAACTTAGACTGCTCTATTATTTCTTGGGATGGGGTTAATTTCATATTTGCAGAGTCATGTAGTAAAGAGTTCAAAATCCAATTACAAAGGCTTAATTTCATAGCAACTAAAGAGAAACATTTCTATCATAAAGGGAAATAAATACTGTGCTACTTCAGGAAACAATTTGTCAGGAACGGGGGGTCCAGGAGAAGGGTCTCCATTACTGTCACTCAACTTTGCGTGACAATGCATCACCAAGGCGGGCGAGTCTGCGGCAGGGAGCAAATTCAATCAGCTGAAGTCAAAGTAATCAGGCTGGGGTTGACACGTTTCAGGAAAGGTCAGCGTTAAGCCCATTTTCTCCTCCTTAACTCAGTTACCGTGTCATCGGCTCTGAGTTAGTATTCCTCCAGCTTGAATCTATAAAATGGATGTCTGCTGCAGAGCGCTAACTACGTTAGGACTAACAGGATTTATTTCACATTCTATTATTTGTTCTTCCTCATAATTTTCCATGTGTCATGCTGGAGGATCGGTGAGGTAATGTGATTAAGCTCAGACTTGAGCGGCTAAATGTATATTAGCAAATCAATCTGAATTTGTGCATAACCCAATCATGGTCCCACCTGCTGTGGAGGGGAAATTCATTTGCTTGCATTAGGCTTTAACTCAGTTATCATTTGCCAGGACTCGGTGGTGCGGTCTGTGTCGGTATGGAAGTGCCACTGGGTTCGGCCACACCTGCCCTAAAGTGGGTGTTTCTGGAGGGATTTCTCCTCGGGGGCAGCTGGCGGATTCTGCCTCGGGGAATGCAGGGAAGGATGACGCCTGAGGTCACCCTTCAGAGAAGGCAAACCTTCCTGGGGGGCCGGTACTGCCTTCGAGGACCCCCCACTCCATGCATCCCCCTCATGCGACGTGCGACCCACTTGGCAGGCACGTGCTCTGGCAGCGGCCGCTCACTACTTCCGAAAGGGCCTCCAGCAGAAGCTCACTGTCCACCTGCTTCTGAAGCCCCAGCGGCTTCCCCAGATGACTCGGGGGATGCGAATCCCACAGCAGATTTCAGCAAACGGGTCGGCGCTCACATGACTCCGTGGTGGCCGAGTCTGGAACGCTCTGGGGCCCCAACCCTCCCCACCACCCCCTGCAATGGCAGGATGTTGCCAGCCCTGCGCCTGGGAGAGTAGGGCAGCTCCAGGCACCCCGCGACCACCCCGCAGCGCCCGGCACCCCCGAGAAGGCAGCATCGGCCCGGGAGCGACTGTTAAAACAGCGCACAGTGCTTGTCCCTGACGACTCTCCTGATAGTGCGATGCTGCAGTGATATTGCATCTGTAAAACACCACAATGGCTTCACATGGGTAATGCTAGCAACCCAGTCCTCCTACCCAGGCGGCACTCCCATAGGCTCATCTGGGCGAGAGAGGAAACAAGATGGGCTTTCCATGGGCAAAGCAGGGCTCTCCTACGACGAACCGAACACTCGGACTCTCCGAGCAAAGTAAACCCAAACTTCCTTCTCTTAGATCTGACTGTCCATGTCAGACACAGACGGAGACCCCGGCCGCTGCCCAGTGGAGACGGCAGCCTGGCTGCCGGGGCCCTGCTGCCCTGCTCCTGGGCACAGTGAGGCGGGTAAGGCCAGCTGCACGCACAGAGAGGAGTGCAGCAAGGAGCGTGGTGCAGAGGAGCGGCCACAGGCTTTAACTCACTCGTCTTAGGTGCAAACCCCATGCTGCCATTTAGTGTCAGAAGCTCTCAGATGTGCGTCTGTGGGAACATTACGAGGCGAGGGGACCACGCAAAGGAAGGCCCTTCCCAGCTGTGAACAGCCATCAGGGCTTGAGGCCTTGGTCCTACCCTCCTTACACGCCCCTTCAGCCCCTCCACTTCACTCCGCGTGCTGGTGTCTTTCAAATGGCACTTACCTTTCCGTTTTGGTTTCATATAAATCATCTTCAATGGTGTTTGGCCCTGGAACTAACTCACCCTCTTGTTTCCTGTCACCTGTGAGCTACAGGGAAGTCAGGGGCATGTGTCACCTTTAGGCCACGTCCTGACAGGAGCACTTCCTCCGCGTCTGACACTGGCTCCACCGGGCCAAGGGCAAAGCAAGCTCACTCATTCCCAACGTGAGTAAATGGCCATTGATCAGTAAGGCCGATGGTTTCATTTTCTAAGAGCAACTTTTCTTTTGTCGTTCACCAGTCCTTCAGGTGCTGTGTTCCCGTCACACGAGCGTGTACTAGTATTTCACACGGGCTGTGCTGTCCAGTGTGGTGTGCTATTAACACAGGAGCATGCATTTCACACAGAACCGTGTTGTCCCATGTGCTGTGTCACTGACACGAGCATGTATTTTATGAGGTTGTGCTGTCCAGTGTGGCGTGTCCCTGACACATGAGCGTGTATTTTATATGAGGTGGTGTTGTCCAGTGTGGCTTGTTACTGACACACAAGCGTGTATTTTATGAGGTTGTGCTGTCCATGTAGCGTGTCCCTGACACACAAGCGTGTATTCTATGAGGTTGTGCTGTCCAGTGTGGTATGTTACTGACACATGAGCGTGTATTCTATGAGGTTGCGCTGTCCATGTAGCATGTTACTGACACACAAGCATGTATTTTATGAGGTTGTGCTGTCCAGTGTGGTGTGTTACTGACACACAAGCGTATATTTTATGAGGTTGTGCTGTCCAGTGTGGCGTGTTACTGACACACGAGATTGTATTTTATGAGGTTTCACTGTCCAGTGTGGCATGTTACTGACACACGAGCGTGTATTTTATGAGGCTGTGCTGTCCAGTGTGGCATGTTACTGACACACGAGCATGTATTTTAGGAGGTTGTGCTGTCCAGTGTGGCGTGTTCCTGACACACGAGCATGTATTTTAGGAGGTTGTATTGCAAATGCTCGAGAGGCTCCAAGCTCAGCCTCCTGGGGTATTTGCATTTTTGTCTGCTCTTTTAAGCAGCACGTAAGAAAAGAACGATTTTTCTAAAGGCATAACCACAAAGACGAGAGGAATAAAAGCAGGAACAGCCACCGAACAGTGACGGCTGCAGGGCAGAGAGGGGGCGACGGTGACATTGATATCGTCTCTACTGCTTTAAAGACACTTTGATGGGGACCAAAATACCCCAAAGAGAAAAGCATACGCCCCTCTCTGCTGCCCAGAGGCGACCCTGGTTCTACCTCTCTGCGCCCACTGCCACCTTGACCGCTCTGTTCCCTTTCGCGGCTCAGGCTCCCCTGTGCGCCCTCCTGGAGCGTGGCAGGAGCTCCGGGTGTGAGAGCTGTGGCCCCTGGACGCTGTCACAGGCTCTGCCTTGGGCCTGGGACCTGCCAGGGGCACCCTGAATGCTGGCGAGGCACCATAACAGCTGCAGGGGTGCCGCTGATTGGGACGGGGTGCCGGGAAGCAGCTGCTGCCGGAGACTGTATTCCCCAGCCCTCCTGAGGCCACAGGGAGGCCTGCTCATGGTTCTGCCCCAAGAACACTGGCCAGAAGCTACCCTGTGCCTGCTCTCAGCCTGCAGGACGCACTGTGCGATTCTCCATGCTCCAGGCCTGCGTCTGCAGCTGGACTAGATGCCCGGGGTCAGCTGTCCCCAGATGACGCCCTTCCCCAGCCATTGATGGGACCACATAAGAAAGAAATGTCTAAAGTGTCCGCTACGAGGGCGTGGGGTTATTTGCTGTTGCAGCTGGTGCCACCCTGTGTATAATTACAGTGACCACCTGACTGACTGAATGCACGGCCGATGGTGTCACCTGCTACCTGTCCGTGGGAAGCCCAGCACAGAGGACGTCACCTTTAGGAGATCCAGTTTCAGTTGCAGCTCCCCCTGCGTGGACGAGCACAGCGCGCCCACGATGATGCTCATGTACTCCTCGGCGTTGATGGCTGAGAGCTGCTCCAGGATGCTGAGGGAGGCTCCGCGGTACCACTCATCGTCCAGGAAGATCTTGATGAAGGGCACCATGCCATGGTCTTTCAGGACAACTGCAGGCCAGACAGACAGACGGGCAGGGTGACAGGGGGCTGGCACCGTAGTCTCAATAACAGCCCCTCAAACAGCCATCAGCCCCTCACCCAGACTGGCCAGGCACCCCAGTGGGGACCCCCACCCTGAACGGGGTGTGACCAGCTGCAAACACCCATCAGCCCCTCACCCAGGCTGGCCAGGCACCCCAGCGGGACCCCCACCCTGATCCGGGACACCCTTCAGGGCAAACCAGCTGGCCCCCACCCGTGCATCAGGCCTCTATCCTATATAATAAAAGGGTAATATGCAAACTGACCCTAACAGCAGAACGACTGGGAATGACTGGTCACTATGACACACACTGACCACCAGGGGGCAGACGCTCAATGCAGGAGCTGCCCCCTGGTGGTCAGTGAGCTCCCACAGGGGGAGCTCTGCTCAGCCACAAGCCAGGCTGATGGCTGCCAGTACAGCGGTGGTGGTGGGAGCCTCTCCCGCCTCCTCAGCAGCGCTAAGGATGTCTGACTGCAGCTTAGACCTGCTCCCTGCTGGCAAGTGGACATCCCCGGAGGGCTGCCGGGGTGCCAGAAGGATGTCTGACTGCCAGCTTGGGCCCTATCCCCCAGGGATCAGGCCTAAGCCAGCAGGTGGACATTCTCCAAGGGGTCCCAGACTTCAAGAGGGCATAGGCCGGGCTGATGGACCCCCCCCCCGAGTGCACAAATTTTTGTGCACCGGGCCTCCAGTATTATAATAAAAGGCTAATATGCAAATAGACTGAACGGCAGAATGACCAGTGGAATGACTGGTCGCTATGACATGCACTGACCACCAGGGGGCAGACGCTCAATGCAGGAACTGCCCCCAGTCCACAGGCCCCAGGCCATCCAAGGCGGGTGCCAGTGGGGGCCCCCTCCGATCATCCCGCCGATCACCCCACAGATCAGCCCTGATTGCCGGCCAGGCCTAGGGACCCTACCTGTGCACAAATTTCATGTACCAGCCCTCTAGTATAGGATATAAAAGCCTAAGCTACCAAATGATCGAATGACCAGTCAACCGGTCGCTATGACGCACACTGACCACCAGGGGGCAGGCACTTAATGCAGGAGCTGCCCCCTGGTGGTCAGTGTGCTCCCACAGCGGGAGTGCTGCTCAGCTGACCAGCAGACTCCAGTCATAAGGCTCACGGCTGGCAGTGGCAGGAGCCTCTCCCAATCGGGACTGACTGGGCGCAAGCCCGCGGCAGGCACAGCAGGGGCTGGGATGAGCAGGAGCAGCAGGCAGGAGCAGCAGGCAGGGTTGGACTGCTGATTTCAACCCAATCCCTGCAGGTGACGCTGAGGGACCCCAGTTTCCACATAATTCCCCAATCCAGGGCTGGTGGCAAATCTCTCTCCCTCTCTCTCTCTCTGCCAAAATTCTCAGTGAAAACAAACCAGAACTGAAATTAAGAACACATTTCATTCCCAGGTAGTTTCTTGGGAAGGGGAGATTAGAAAAATTTGGCTGGTGGTATGTTTTTGTTTAAAAGGAATTCTAAGAATCTTTTCCCAGGATTGGTATTGGAGGCTCACGTGGAATGAGCAGGAAGAAGTAATGGATTATCCCACTGGCATGATGTGGCCGTGACAGGTCACTCCATGAGGCAGGAGGCTCCGCTCCTGGGCCAGGGGCTCCCTCTGGGGAAAGCCCCGTGGGGGCCTTGGAGAGGCGGGTTCCTGAGCTCCTAACCTCAGAGGCCTTCTGCCACAGGATTGTCCCTCACACTCGGCGTAGCTGATCTGTGAGGGCCTCAGAGAGACCCCGAGTCACCAAGCCCCTGCTGTCACTTGATGTGTCGCTTCACCACACAATATGTGCACGTGCATATCCGACACCCGCTGTTCAAAGCAGCACGGAGCTGCCTGGTCTTGGGGAGCAGAATTGGGGATGAGGGAGCCCTGGGTGCACCACAGGCCCGGCACATGCAGTGAACTCCCTGAAAATGGCGAGCGCTCTTTGCTGTATTTTACGATTTGGATGTTTTAAAGCCCATAGAGCAGAGGGTATTAGTGGGTTTAGCATGAACGTGTGGAGGGGAGATACTCTTTGGTCTCATCATTCAGGATGTGCCTTTGCTTCACAGCCCCATTTATCAACTTTAAAGTGAAAGGTGTCCACCGATTTCCCGGTGATCGCGGCCACAGACCAGCCGCTGGACGTTACCCGCACGCGGTGCTGCTCTCTCCCTGCTGTGACCCGTGGTCAGCGGCCGTCCTTACCCGCGTTCCGGACGGAGCCGTTCAGCAGCGCGACTACGGTCTCCAGCATCACACCCGTCAGTTCCCGCTCTGGGTCCCGGACACCGGGGGTGGGCTCCTTGTTTCCTGAAACATTTAAGAAGCAGTAAAAAATGTTAATGTGCACGGCCCGATCCCAAATCCCCGACTGCATCCGTTTCCTACCCTCTTACAGAAAGGCGAATCTAATGCTTCCATTGTAAGGGAGTGCACATCCCAGGTGAGAAGATGTAACCCCACTGCCCTGAGAGCAATGGTCACCACACCAACATCTCCTGGAGGCTCGTTCCTAAACCCCAGGAGCTGGTCCCTTCCCCGGGGTTTCTGACTTAGAGGTCTTGAGTGGAGTCCTATCGCTGCATCCCTAACCAGTCCCATCTGTGCTGATGGGCAGGCGTGAGGGCCAGGCTTGGAGAACCACTGTTGTGCAGGATCCCCGAAGCCCTGCCTTCTTCACCTTCCTTTGGACACCCGTGTGTGTGTGTGGAGAGGGGGGAGGCTGCCAGCTCACACCACAGGCACGAGATGCGTGAGAGACCGTGGAGTAGACTGTCCCCAGTAGCTCCATGAGGGCACACCAGGCCTGTGTGCTCACCTGAGTCCCCAGAGCCGAAAGAGCCTGACTCAAGAGGGAAGTTCAGCACATATGTGGGGAATGAATGAATGAGTAAAGGTAGCGCTTATTAACCAGGAGACAAAGTATCCAAGAAACAGCAAGAAATGTAACAACAGAGGCAGGAAGTAAGATCAGATCCATCAGCTCACAAGAAGGTTCGCATTCTCCGGGAGTGGTCGTAGGCCTGCGACTGGGTTTGAGAGTAAGTCTACACCAGGCTGCGGAGAAGCCTGCACAGCTAAGCTAACAAGAAGCACTGACCCCACGTGGGAGATACTCTTTGGTCTCGGTTTAGGATATGCCTTTGCTTCAAAGAGCAGTAGAAAGAAGCACAGACAAGACTCGTGGAGACCTGGCTCGGGCCCAGCTATGCCCGACGGAGCACCTGCTCCTCAGCCCCGCACCCCAGGAGGCACGGTCCTTCTGGGCTCCACAGCAGTGGGCGTTCCTCCAGGCAGGTCATCTGTCTCCATAGGGTGAATAGGGGTAAGATGACTGACATTTCTTGAGTAACTACTATGCACCAAGCATGACAATGGGTCCCTTCCTTCAGGCACTTCCCACTGAATTTTCACAACAGCCATAGATAGATAGATAGATAGATAGATAGATAGATAGATAGACAGATAGACAGACACTTCCATGTTACAGAGGGGAGAAGAGGCTCATCGAAGCTAAGTAATTTGCTCAGGATCGCTGAGCCCCTACGCGGCACAGCCGGGTTCCAGCCCAGGGCCGGCTGGCCCCACGCCCACGCGCTCTCCCTGAGCATCTTTCCCTCAGAGGCCAGGAAGCAGGCAGACTGATGACTGTAGCTTGAGTCTGAGCAGAATTCCAGAAGCGCCAACAGCTCGCGAGCCCGCTCCCTCCCAGCCAAGCAGTAGGAGGAGTAGAGGCGGGAAGGTGAAGCGAGGTCAGCGACAGGCTCCTGTGACTCGGAGTCGCTCCAGGCGGCAACCCAGAGGGGCAGCTGTGGGCAGATGGAGGGAAAGCCAGGGGAACTGAAACGATGTTCATGCTCTGATTCCCGTCTGAAAGTTGGCGGAGGTGGGGGTTGCAGACAACCACAGAGGGGCCCCAGCAGAGCGGGCCCATGGGGTGCGGTCAGGCAGCGAGGGAACCCGGGCCAGCACTCCTGAATGTGTCCTGCTGAAAACAGGGTCCTGAAGTCCCCCTGGGGGAGCAGAGGTGCTGATGCTGAGAGTCCAGAGTATCGGGGCTGCAGGGGGAGGAACAACGCCAAGGAGCCATGGGCACACAGCCCAGCAGGGCACACAAGGTGTGGCCAAAATTCGGAGGGGCAGCTGAACCGCAGGGACCCCTGCTCCCAATGGGAGACCATTGGGCCCAATAGCACCGGGTGAGCAAGGCGGCCGCATCCAGGCTCCCCAGCCAGTCCCCACCCGAGCCCCACGCCTCTCTGAGCTCCTTTCCCTTGGCCCTTCCCCCGCCATCTCCCCATCTCCACACTCAGGCAACACTCGGGGAGGAAATGTGTAAAAGCTGAGAATTCATGGGCCTGAGCTAGCTCCATGAGTCTGTTAAAATTACACCCATCCTGCCCTGGCCAGTGTGCTCAGTGGTTAGCGTGTCAGCTCATGCACCAAAGGGTCACAGGTTCAATTCCTAGTCAAGGCATGTACCTGGGTTGCAGGTTCACTCCCTGCTCTCCTGGTCGAGGCACATGCCGGAGGCAACCAGTCAATATGTCTCTCTCACATCGATGGAGTCTCTCTCTCTCTCTCTCTCTCTCTCTCTCTCTCTCTCTCGCTCCCTCACCCCACTCTCTCTGAAAAGCAATAGAAAAAATATCCAGGTGAGGATTAACAACAAAAACAAAACATAAAATTACACCCATTCCCCTCATCTCTCCATGGGGAAGCTCAGGCTAGTCATAGGAGATAGGGAGGCTGCTGCTCTGTGAAGTCATGTGCCCCGGGGTTCCTTCCCTGAGCCCCATGGGCCAGTGACGGGGCGAGCCCACTTTCTCGGTTGAGCTGATGAGCAGGAGGGTGGGCCTGCAGAACCGGCCCAGCTAACGGACGCCCAGCCTGTCCCCCTCCACCTCCCAGGCTTCTGCACACCTGACTTCCTCAGGACCTTGGCCCGCTTCCGCAGCTGGGCGAGCAGCAGGCCCAGGAGCCCCGAGTCCCGGAAAATGTCTGTGAAGAGTGGGTCCGCGCCGGCGATCCTGAGGACACTCTGCAGGGCCCTGAGGGTGCAGAGCGGCTCAGAGCTCTCCATGATCAGGCGCTGCACCTTCCCCAGGATCTCGTGGGGCACGTAACGCAGCTCGAACACCAGGGCCTCCAGCAGCTGGAAGAAATGCGTCTGCACCTGGGCCGGCTTCAGGGGCACGAGCTCCACGAACTGGGAGATGGGCTGCAGGGTCCACTCCAGCAGGAAGAAGTTGCGGGCGTTCCAGGCCCACATGGTCCTGATGGCCGAGAGCACGTGCGTGCAGAGGAGGGCGTCGCTGGCTTTGTGGAAAACATTCTGCAGGACCTGGAAGGCCTGGAGGTTCTTAACGGTCACCCCTGAAAAGGAAAAAGATCCTGCAGGTCATTTCTCCTGCCTCTGCCTAGAGATGCGTGATGGCCTTATCATCAGGAAATACCGTTTAAGGTTTCTGTTTTCTAGCTCCTGTGGGTAAAAGCCTATCAGAAGTCCCGAAGCCCAGCCGCCCAGAGTGTAAGGCCCGAGCTGCACTGTCCGCGACGAGGTGGGCGACAGCGCTGGGAGGGTCACCCGCGCGTAAAAATGCACTGGGTTTCCAAGACACAGCAGAGAAACACGCAAAAAGCCACTAACAATTATTTGTAATGACCACATGTTAAAATAGTCATACTCTGGATATGTTGGGTTAAATAGAAGGTATTATGAAAAATAATTTAAGCTGTTCCTATTTTTTTTATATAAGGCAACTAAGACGTTTAAAATGAGGGAATGCGACTCACATTGTATTTCTATCGGGCAGCACTGGCTGAAGGATTCATTTCCATCAATTGAAATCAAATTATTTTAAACATTCCTGAGCAAAGTCTGCTTCATTTGTAAACAAACTGTTGAATAGACACCCCTGACCGCACCCCCCCTACTCCCCAGCTTGAAGGTTAGGCCCGTTCCCTCTGGCCCGGGGACACCCCCCTGAGGCCCTGCCTGCAGCCAGCCCTGCCTCAGACACCAGGGCCCTCCCTCTGGTCCAGACACTTCCTTGGGAGCTGGGGTCCCATCCAAGGGCTTTTCCTAAACTTCCTCCCTCCTCCCCACCCGCTCCGAGGCCTCTGCACTCTGGTCCGCTCAGGCCTCGGCACCGTTTCCCCAGATGCTCCCAGTCACTGTCTATTTCCCGCCTGTGCTCCCTGCCTTTAAACCTCTTCCCTGCCTCTCTGCCTGGACAGCCACGCAAGGCCTTGAACACACCTCTGTGCAGGGTTTCCTGACCCAGAGCCCACCCACTGCTGGAGTCACCGCCGCCCTGATGCTGTCATCAGTCAGGTTAGGCACATGGTCGCCGAGCAGGTATGGCTGCAGGTATGTGTGACCATCTCCACAGATGATTTGCAGGGAGCGGACACCCGGCGCCCAGCACGGGGCAGAGAGCTGGCTGCAGAAAGCACCGCGCATGTCCCCTGAGCTCATCAATAAGCGTGGGCCTCGCCAAGAGCCGAGCGGGCACGGACCTGAGCCGGTGACTGTCTCAGGGCCGAGTCATTAGATCCGCAAATGCTCTTGTACCAGGGACGGTGAGGCCAGGGGCTCCCACTCCTACTTGACAGTCCCCGCCTTTACTAGGTAACCGTGCACCCTAAGTCCCATCCAAGGCATCTAGAAAAATCTATGAAGGAGAGATTTAAATCCATAAGCCATCTCCCAGATGTGTGACAGAACTAGACCTCAAGTGTTTGTTTCTTTACAAAGACCGGGTGGAAGCCTGGGCAGCCCTGTGAGGGCACAGTGCCCACTGCGGGTACCTGACCCGGCAGACTCACCGGAGGCCTCCTGGTGGAACTTGAAGCCTTCCAGCTGAGGGTAGGTGACGCTGTCGAACACCTTCAGCTCCGCCCGCCCGCAGGTCGTCAGCCACACCACCAGCCCCAGGAGCTCCTCCAGGTGGGGATCCACTTCGCGCAGGTGCAGCCCGTCGTACCTGCAGGGACAGGGAGGCGGCTCCTGGGCTCGGGGATCAAGAGCCACGTTTGCTAACAGTGCTCCTCAGGGTGCAGAGGCAACGGGATTGACGTGCTGAGAAAGACCCCAAAGGTCCCCACCACATCAGCACCGAGAGGCAAGGGCAGCGCCTGGGTAAGGTCAGCTGCCGGCCAAGGTCAGCCTTCGGCCTGAAAGTGCAACCAGAACACAGAGGCAGCCCCGGCCTCTGCTCACAAGGCTGCTTTCTGTGGCCCGACCCCAAAAGCCATGTGCTTTGGGCAGGAGCACCCCAAAATGAGAGCTTTCACATTTCTGAAGAGCAACAAAGGGGAAGAGTCTGACCTGGCCAGGCCTCCCGCCGATTTCAGGGCTGAGCACTGGTTCCTTAGCTGCTGGGAGGGGCTCGCACTGGGAGGAGGCCCTGGGCCTGCCACCCTGCTATGCCCACAGTGTGTGAGTCAGCATGTGACCACGTAAGGCAGAAAGAAAAGCAACGAGCTGCCCGGGCCTGGGACAGCTCCTTCCCTCCTGCCTCCACAGGAAGTGGGGGCACCAGCACCCATTTAACCAAAAAGTGTTCAGGAGCTGCTGTGACCTAGCCCTTCCTGGTGGAGACAGCCAGGGGGTCAGAGTTCAGACTAATGTGAAAGGTGCATCATCACAGGGACATGTGTCCCTGTGGAGGAAGGCCTTCTGGTTGTCATTTAGTCACATCATTTTGGAGACAGCACTGCAGGCTTCACCGCCAGACAGCAAGCCTGACTCAGCGGAGTCCCTGAGCACAGCGCGGGCTGCGTCCCAGAGGAGGCCTGCTCACGCTCAGGCAGAGCCGGGGAGATGTGAGCCCCGCTGTGCCGCGCCCCTAAGGTCAGTGGCGTTTGCAGTCCCAGACATTCTGTGATTCTCCTCTTGGCTTACCCACCCCCACGCCCCAACCTGAAGGTGACGTGCTGGTCAGAATAGAGCCAGCCAGCTGAGTTCTCCTGACCCTGCAGAATAGTGTCTGCGCTTGCTTTCCCAGGGACTTAAGGGGTCAGGACTCAAGGGCGAGGACGGGAGAAGCTCTAGGAGACAGAAGGAGGCAGTAGGGAGCGTTATGGAGCCAGCGTCCCATCAGCGACTGGAGCCCAAGCCTCCTGGGCTCTGGGGTGCAGGGTGCCCCTCTCCCCCCCACCCCCACCCCACAAGCGGTAACTTTGCTGGTTATTTATCCATCAGCTTCTGCCCATCACGGGTTGAGGACTGCTCGTGGGGGCCATTCCCGGCACTTCCTGCCCTTCAGCACATGGCAGCGCCCATTAGAGCTGTCCCAGAAAGCCCTCCAGCCCGCCACGTGGGCTCCCACGGCGTCTGTCGGGCGGGATGGCATGGAAGTGGTCCATGCCACCAAGGGACTTGGCACAATTATCACCACCAGCCACTGGCTCTCCAAGGGAGTGGCTCTGGCTCCCAAGCCCACTGCACGTTGAATTACTTTTGCAATAAAACTCTCTCTGGCCACACTCTACAGAGAGGTGTGTTTCAGACACGCGGGGAAGCCCGCGGATCTTTCTCCGAGGCACCCAGTGATTCTGAGGAGCAAGGTTCGGGGGTTCTCCCCACCAGGCACAGCGCTTACCGGAGGAACACTTTGAGCAGCAGAGGGTAGCCCTCCCCATTCTCAAACTCCAGGAGCAGAGCCTGGGAGACAGGGTAGGCGTCCTTCACGAAGCCCAGGACCAGGCCGGCAGCCTCGCTCAGCTCGGGGGCGGGGAGCGAGTCCGCCAGCCGGGAGAGGTTCTGGAGGCAGAGCTTGATGCAGTCCCTGGCTGTGGGAGGAAATGCACAGTCTGCTCAGAGCCAGGCTTTTCTGCTGGTCGTTCCCTCCTGCCCCACCCCCTCTGGGCTGCACATCAAGATGTGAGTTAATCCAAAGCATTTTTCTTTTGCTCTTGGATCAAGAAGAAGACTCCCCCTGGGAATCGCCATCCTGAGAGCGGGCTCTGCAGGTTGGACGGAGGCTGAGACAGGAGGGAAGCCTGTCAGCCCTCTGCTCCCAACCCCCAGCTCCTGGGAGGGGCTGGGCCACTGGGTAAGAGATGCCAAAGAAGCAGCTCCGGAGGTGGCAAGAGCAGTCTGAGGACAAGTGCAGGGGAGGCCGTGGGTGTGTGCGAAGGAGAGGGGACAAAGATGGTGGGTCTCAGCACTAGAGTCAGGGGTCAGAGCCCCACTACGGGACACAGGGAAGTGGCTAAGCAGGGCCACGGTGGGGCCTGGCCATGGTGGTCCCCCAGGGCTGTGGGAAGCCGAGGAAGACTTGCACTAGAAGAGAAGTATCACTGGATTTGCATCTTGACTGATCACTGTTTTTATGGCTCTTTCATGGGGAGAAGTCTCTTCCAAGTGCCAGAGTCAGGAGGAGTGCCAGAAAGTGAGAGAGAGCTGGAGAAGGTGAGGGAGAGCTGAGGAGGTCAGGGAGAGCTGAGAAGGTCAGGGAGAGCTGGAGAAGGTGAGGAAGAGCTGGAGAAAGTGAGGGAGAGCTGGAGAAAGTGAGGGAGAGCTAGAGAAGGTCAGGGAGAGCTGGAGAAAGTGAGGAAGAGCTGGAGAAAGTGAGGGAGAGCTGGAGAAAGTGAGGGAGAGCTAGAGAAGGTCAGGGAGAGCTGGAGAAAGTGAGGGAGAGCTGGAGAAAGTGAGGGAGAGCTGGAGAAAGTGAGGGAGAGCTGGAGAAAGTGAGGGAGAGCTAGAGAAGGTCAGGGAGAGCTGGAGAAAGTGAGGGAGAGCTGGAGAAAGTGAGGGAGAGCTAGAGAAGGTCAGGGAGAGCTGGAGAAAGTGAGGGAGAGCTGGAGAAAGTGAGGGAGAGCTGGGGAAAGTGAGGGAGAGCTGGAGAAAGTCAGGGAGAGCTGGAGAAAGTGAGGAAGAGCTGGGGAAAGTCAGGGAGAGCTGGAGAAAGTCAGGGAGAGCTGGAGAAAGTGAGGAAGAGCTGGGGAACGTGAGGAAGAGCTGAGAAGGTCAGGGAGAGCTGAGAAGGTCAGGGAGAGCTGAGAAGGTCAGGTATAGCTGGAGAAGGTCAGGGAGAGCTGAGAAGGTCAGGTATAGCTGGAGAAGGTCAGGGAGAGCTGAGAAGGTCAGGTATAGCTAGAGAAGGTCAGGGAGAGCTGAGAAGGTCAGGGAGAGCTGAGAAGGTCAGGGAGAGCTGAGAAGGTCAGGGAGATCGCCTATCAAGAACCTGAGACAATAATAATGTGTACTCGGTCCCTGGGTTGAGAGGCCTGGGCTGCACCAGAGAGTCTGCATGTGGACGGGGCACACCTAGAATTCAGGGCTCGGCAGGTAGCGGCCAGCCCAGCGCTCACTTGCCCACCTTCTCCTCAGCTTAGGCGCCCACAGAACCAGCCCATTTCTCACAGGGGTACAGGCTCCACCCGGTGGCAGGCTCCACGAGGCAGAATTGTTCTTTTCCAGTTGAGAATACGATACAGTGAGGACCCCACCCCTCCCATGGGTACAGCCTTTTCTTGGGCATCTCCAGCTCCAGCCTGTGAGTGGAGTGGGGGGACTACAAAGCACCTCGGGCCCAGCTCAGCCTGGACCATTACCGCTGGGCCTGGCCTCACAGGAACCTGAACTGGAACTGGGCTGCCGTTCCTGTGGGCTCTGCCTCGGTAGGAGGTGGGCTTGCTGAGTTTGGCCAGCCCTCACCGCGGGTGCCCTCTGTCACAGGAGGCCCCAAAAGAAGACCGGCCGCAGGGCACGTGATTGTGGACAGGCAGGTCACACCGGCAGGCTCTGACCTACTCCCCAAAGACACCATACCTTGGGGTCAGCCCAGGGGTGCCTCCCAAGAGGCACTTTAGCTGGTGAGCTAAGGAAATGCCACTGAGCGGGCAGGGAGGCAGCTCAGGGAGCCTTTGTCACAGTGCCCCTCGGGTTGGCCTGGCAGAGCCTCCCTCTGGCCAGCCACGGAGAGGAGGCCAACACCTCCTCCCAAGACGTGAGCCACAGCGGCCCATGTTCCCAGGGTTATCTGTGTCCTTGGGAGGCGGCAGGAGATGCTGAAGGAGCAGCTACAACTGGTCCTGCTGATGGAGTTGATGCCCTCGGGGCCCTGCCTGGCTCGCACCGGGTGGTGACGCGGCAGTGACGGCCGGGGGAACCCACTGCGTGCCCACGCCATCTAAGCACTTCAGATATGTCAACCCCCAAAGCGTAACCGTCCAGTGAGATCCGCGGGACCGCCTTCCCATTTTACAGACAAGAAGATGAGGCGCCCAGGCAGTGAAGTGCCCGAGGTCACGCCACCGGAGAGCAGAGCCAGGTGTGCGTCCCTGCTGCTGCCCCAGCAGACGCTGAGGCCCAGGGAGCGGCATCTCCAAGTTCAAATCTGATTCTCTTCTTGGAAACCCAGGAGCCTTGGCAAGCTCTTCAACATACTAATCTGTTTCCCATTGCAAAATGGCATGATCATCAACATCCATCTCCAGGAACAGATGAGATAACACACAGATGGGCCCGGCAGATTCTGGTTGACAGTATGTGAGCAGCTAAGGGGCTCCCCTTCCCCTCCTCCAATGGAGCATCCAAATGAACAACAAAAGCACTTTCATGAATGGAACCAAGCACTACAGGGTCAGCTACTGGCCCAGCTGGGCATCCATGAGAACCTGTTTGCCCTTCTCATTTCTGGTCCCAGAAATCTATCCTGATGCTGCAAGGGCATGACAGGGACCTGCTGTGGGAAGTGGGTCCCCGGGGACTTACCCTGCAGGTACTGAATGACGCTGAGGTCCTGGGCCTGGGAGATGGCCCTCAGCACACAGAAGGTAGGCTCCTTCCAAAAGCAGCAGCTGTGCTCCCGGAGGCAGGTGGTGGCAATCAGCAATGCCTGGAGCTCATTCCCTGCGAGGAGGCCCTCCAGCCCCTGAGGCTCGCTGCAGATGTTGAGCAACATCTGAGAGGAAGAAGGAAGGAAGACCCAGGAGACCGATTAGAAGCCTCCTTGCTGCCGTGGACTTGCTCCCTGCTTTTACAGAGCACTGAGGGCACATGTTAGCACATAGATGGCTTTGTATGCTGTCACCCTCTGCCCAGACCAGCATGGTCACCAGTACCACCAGCAAAGGATGAGGGGCTCGGGCTGTCTGAACTCTTAACTGCTGTAAAGGCAGGAGTTACCCTTTCCAAGTCAGAATAACAAAGAAGTGTTGGACTTGGATGGGTGTCTTTTTATATAGAAATGCCAGGAAAATGGCATTGACCATTAAAATACAGGATTAACAGGACCCTGTGCTACTTAGAAAACAAGATGCAGCCTGGCCAGTGTGGCTCAGTGGTTGAGTGTCAACCTATGGACCAGGAGGTCAAGGTTTGATTCCTAGTCAGGGCACATATCTGGGTTGCAGGATCGATTCTGGGTTGTAGGGGCCATGCCAGAGGCAGTCAATCAATGATCCTCTCTCATCATTGCTGTTTCTATCTGTCTCTCCCTCTACCTTCCTCTCTGAAATCAATAAAAATAGATTTAAACTAGAGGCCCAATGCATGGAATTTGTGCAAGGGGCTTGGCCCTCGCAGTCGCAGCAGCTTGCCTCAGCCCTCGCAGCCTTGGCTTTGTCCTGAAGGTCGTCCGGAAGGACGTCCAGAAGGAGGTCCGGTCTAATTAGCATATTCCACTTTTATTGTTATAGATAATAATAATAAAATAAAATAAAAAGCCAGATGTATCCTGAATCCCTGGTTAGCATTCATGCCTCACTTCTCCACACAGCCATGAGCGTTGTCCTGTAACCTCCGACCTGGGACCCTTGTTCCCACCAACCCAATCTCCTGTGGACTTGGGACACTGCCTATGCCCTTGGGGAGAGTCACAGCAGGCAGCACCTGCAGGGACTCATCCGGCCTCCTTTCTCTTGGGCTCTTGCTGGTCTAACAGGACCTTCTCCCAGTTCAGCAGGTACAGAAGCTCCTGCCACTGAATGCAGGCCCTCGGCACAGGGATGGAGGCCAGCCGGGCACCTAGGACTGGCTACAGACCCTGCACGTGGGTGTGGCCGCAGCCCTTGGCTCAGATGACCATTCTGCTGCTTGCCCCCACCTCCCCATCACAGCTCTACCCCAACCGCCAGCTCTCAATGCCATTCCCTCAGAGCTGCATCCTCCATGCTCCTCTGTGAGTCAGCCCCTGGGCCTCCCTTCCCAGCCCTGCCTTTGCCTTTGCCTTTCCCTGCAGAGCACCGAAGGCAGTGGACATGCTGACTTATTCGCAGGATGTCCCCCACTTGCTTCCACACCTTCCTGTCCCCTCTCCGAGAGGGACTGTGCCAGCTGAGGGATCGCGTCTGGCACAGAGCCGCACCGGGAGGAACTTCATACTTTTTATGGAATGAAATGAGGAATGAACGCAGGTGGGGCCTAGCGCTGGGGGGCGCATTCTGTGCATCCGCGGGCAACCCTGGAAAGACAGGGCCGCGCTCCCTCCCTGAGCGCACGGAGAAGTCACAGGATAAAGATGTGTCCACGTGCCCAGCACTGTGTCCCAGTACATTTGGGATATGGTTACATCCAGGCAAATGGGGCCAGCGTTTCCAGGGTTTCCAGCAGGCAGAGTGCGGATAAGCCGCGGACGGGCCGATGCCTCTGGCAGCCACGCCTCTGGCTGGAGGATGAGTCTGCGATGGGTGTTCATCTGCATGCAGATGCTCAATGGGCAGCTGCACTTGGAAATCCCCAAACGGTCTAGCACCTGCTCTGGGAGGCACTGCCCAGGCGCTGGACACACAGCCGTGAGTGAGACGGCCTGCTCCCCACCCTCACCAGGGGCAGGGGCAGCAGTTGTCCGTGGAGGGTGGCCCCCGAAGACAGAGAGCAGGACTTGTCAGTGGGGGGCAGGGAGCTGAGGAGGGGCATTATGTGAAAAGTTGCTGCTGGCTGTCAGTGGACAGGAGCGAGGGGCAATGACAAGAGGAAATCGCACTTGCAATTCAGTGGCCTGAGATGGCTTCTTGGGAGGAGGGGAGGCAGCATCGCGGGTGGTGCGGAGCCCACTGAGAGTGAACTGGGGATCCAGAGTCCCGGCCCAGCCCCCACCCGCCCCTGAGCTCACGTTTCCTGTGTTTGTATAGAGCAAGGAGCACAGCACTGCACACATCTGGGGACGGAGGAGGTGACAGACAAGAGACCACGGCACAAGGGGCATGGCAACTGCTTAGAAAGTGTTGGCTAGTTAGTGATGCAGTGCAGTTAGCAAGCGCGTCTCAGATGGGAGGTGGCCAGCGACAGAAGGTTCCAGATGCAGGCGAGGACCGGCAGGGCCCAGGAATGCGGGCTGGAGAAGGAGCTGGTGGGCCAAGCAGAGAAGGCACTCACGTTTCTGGGGAAGAACAAGGGGAGCAGGGAGGGATACAGAGGCACAAGAGGGAAGTCCATCCTCCGGATGCCTAGGCCTCTCGCGTTTGCAGAACGTGGGGCGGAGGGATGCGCTGGCCTTGAGCAAGGCAGGTGGGAGCGGCTCCCAGAGGCAGAGATCGGCCCAGCCCAGAGGGGCTCAGCCCGGCTCTCACTCACCTGCACAAACATCCTCTGAACTTGAACATCGTCCTCCGAATGCTCGTCCTCCTCCAGAGGAAAGACGAAGAAGAGGTACAGACACTGCAGGAGCAGGGCTGGGAGCCCCGACTCGGCAACGCTGCCCAGTGCCTCCTGCAAGGGAAGAGCAGGCTGTGACCGAGGCCGGGCGGCCGGCACTGCCCCAGGCCCTTGATCCCCTCGTCAGATCCAACCTCATGACGGCCCACCCACCGGGAAGACCAGCGCCAGAGCTGCGGACAGAGGAGAGGACACGGGCGCCGGCAGGGCCCAGCCTGTGTGTGCAGCACCCGGGACCTTTTTCCACATGCCCGCCCGCAGCTCCGCCTGGATCACTGTGGCTGCTGTCTCAGTGTGCGCACACGTGCGTTTGCATGTGCATGTGTGTGTGCGTGCACAAGTGGAGTTCATCTAAAAAGCATGCTGACCACACAGTTAGAAAAACAGAAAGGAGAAGAGGCAAGAACCAGGAGTATCAGGCAGTGCCGGGCCCCCTGCCCCAAAGGCTCCTGGGCAGGCAAGGCCCGCCTCCCTGGACGCCTGGCTCTGCAGCGCCCCCGCAGGCAGCTCTCCCCACCCCTGCTCCACGGGCTCCCCAAAGGCAGCTGCTCACTCTCTTGGCTCTGGGTCTGGCTGCCCCAGCGGAAAGCCATCTTCAGGTCAGTGTTACCGCTCAGCTGGAAGCAGCCCTTCCCGGGAGCAGAGGCCCACTCCATGCTGCGGCCCTCTGGCCACAGGGCCGGCAGGGCTCCCGCTCCCACAGGGAAAGCCAGGCGGCCCTCCCTGGCTAACGCTGCCGCCTGCTGCTCACACCACATGCTGCCTCTAAGGCTCCTGCGATGCCTGTGTCACCCCGGACAGAAGGCAGCAGCTGCGCTCTGCTCCCCTGCCATTCCCAATGTCGCGGGCTAGACCCCCCACAGTGGGCACCCCAGCAGCCGACAGACCGGAGAGTCTTGGGCCTGCCCTGCAAGGGCCTCGGGCCATTTCTGCTGATGGCCAAGCTGCCAGGACACCGGCCTCAGCAGACCACTCGGCGGGGAGGACCAGGCCCCTCTTCCCAGTGGGTGCGGGTGGGCAGGGAAGGCGGCAGTCTGCTAGCACTGCCTCTGGGTGAGCATGCTCGGACAGCGCCTCCCGGTGCGGCTCCTTCCGTCTGAGTTTAACAGCAGGCAGAACCCAGCCGAGGCTCAGAGCACAGCCCTGGTCAGACAGACTGCGGCCACACCCCACAGCAGAGCCTGGTCCTCACCCCGGCGTGGCCGTGGCGTCACCAGGGCGGACTCAGTGCTGGGACGCCAGCCCTTTTCAATCTCACAGCGGCCCCAGCACTGAGGCGCTACTGTCCCCAACTCTCAAATCAGCTGCACCCGTCACAGTGACGTGCCGCATGTCACGGGCGGTCAACTGACAGGGCAGGATCCAGACCAGAATCCCAGAATTTCAGAAGCCGTTCCTACACCAGAGGGGAGCCAGGGCGAGAGAGGAGAAGCCAGCTTCCTGGGAAGAAAGGCTCTGGGAGCCACGCCCTGCCCTGAGCTGAGGCCTCCCTCCCGGTGGCTGAGGAGGCCAGGCCGTGGCTCCCAGCACTTACCGTGTCCGTCCCCGAGAGCAGGAAGGCCGACTTCAGGAGCAGGTAGCCGTCCTGCTGCGCATCCCGCTTCCACCGCAGCAGCTGCCCCGCGGCCGCCCGCGCTTGCTCTGACAACAGCGGAGAAGAGGAAACGTGTCAGTGGGTGATGCAGGGACTTGCTCACCAGTTTGCCCTCCACTTGCCACCCACCTATGAGCTCTACCTTCGCCTCTTTGGAGACGTCCACTTCCTGCCCTCCCCACAAGGCCGCCTGAACCTACACCCACCCTCACACTCAGCCAGTTACCCTCCTTGGAGGCCAGCCTTTAGCATTCAGTCTTCCCTGGTCAGCAACCGTCAATGGCTCCCCATTGCCAAGTAATAGGAGCAAGTTCCTCACCATAGACTTCCCACAACTGGCCTCCACCCCACTCTCTCTATTGCAGCCCCTCCATCACAGGGGTTCCTGCCTCTGCACCCAGCTCAGGCCACCCTGCCCGGAGCTCCCTCCACAGCCTTTGTCTGGGCTCTGTGCTTGGAAGACTGCGAGTCAGGGACCCCACAGCAAAACACATGCTCTGACCGGGGGTCTTGTCTGGATCGAGTTCTCCACTGAACACTCAGGTGCCTTCTAGCCCAGCACTTCCTCCCAGAGGCCCTGCTCCTGTGTGTGTGTGTGTGTGTGTGTGTGTGTGTGTGTGTGTGTCTCCCAGGAGCAGCAGTTCCCTGAGACCCCCTTCCCTGCTCTGCTAGCCTTTCCCTTGTTCCCAAGGGACTCGGTGGCAGACTGGGCCCGTGGTCTCTTTGGCAGGCACTTCGCTGACTAACTAGAAAGCAGAAGGGCAGAGCAGGGCCGAAGGCCTTCAGCACGTGCTGCTCCCACAGGGCCCAGGGCCGCTCCGCACTCACCCGCAGGCTTTCCCACCAGCACCTGCTGGATCTCCTGGGCGAGCTGGCTGGACACTTCGCCGGCCAGCCTGTGCAGGCTGGGAAAGCAGATGAGCCCCACGGAGTGCTCCCAGGCCTGAAGGCACACACAGGTTGGTCAGAGACGTCACAGCTCCAGAGCAAGGCCCGAGCATCACCTCCCTCTCTCCCTGCCATCCCTCGGCACAGGCTCAACGCTTCCCAGGTGCATCCCAAGGCCGCCCCCGCCTTCCCTCCTCCCACTGCACCCCCGCCCTCAGGCCTGCAATCCCAGCTCTCTGCTGAGCTCCAACCCACGGCCCATACCTCCCGGACTCGTGCTCCTTAAGCCTCAGACATGCATCACCGAATCCAGTGCCTCAAACCCGCTGCATCTCCTCTCCCAGAGGGGCCTTGCCAGTCACCCAGCTGCCCTCCTGGGAACCCCCAAGAGAGAGAGTCTCCAGGTCTCCCTCTCCCTCACCTTCCTCCCCCGTCAGTGCTGTGTCCCACTGATGCTCCTCTTTTCCGAATTTCCCCTGGTTTCTCTAGTTATCCTGTTTCTAGGATGGCTCTTCCACCCAGTCTTTGCCCTTCGCGCTGTGTTGTCACAGGCCCAGTTCACCAGTCCTGGGAGGAGACTCCCATAGGCCACAGTCAGAGAGAGGGACTAGTCCTGGGAGGAGGAGACTCCCCCAGGGCACAGAGAGGAGGGACTAGTCCTGGGAGGAGGAGACTCCCCCAGGGCACAGTCAGAGAGGAGGCTCTAGTCCTGGGAGGAGGAGACTTCCCCAGGGCACAGTCAGAGAGGAGGGACTAGTCCTGGGAGGAGAAGACTCCCCCAGGGCACAGTCAGAGAGGAGGGACTAGTCCTGGGAGGAGAAGACTCCCCCAGGGCACAGTCAGAGAGGAGGACTAGTCCTGGGAGGAGGAGACTTCCCCAGGGCACAGTCAGAGAGAGGGACTAGTCCTGGGAGGAGAAGACTCCCCCAGGGCACAGTCAGAGAGGAGGACTAGTCCTATGCCAGGACGTGAGTTCAGGAATCTCCCATCCCTGGTGCTCACCAGGAAGGTAGGTGCTGTGGGCATTCCTGGTCACTAGTGGCCGCTATAACATGCAGTTTTGCTGGACTCCCATTCACTGTACCCATTTACTAGCTGTCTAAGTTTTATTCCTGCCCAAAGACCTGACCGAGTTTTTTAAACTGAGGTCCTCCTACTGAAGGTGAATAACACATCAAATTCTGAAGAGAAATCATTTCAATGTGTTTCCTTGCTACAGATACTATAGTTGTTAAAAAGCAAAAACCTTCAAAAATCCTCTCTATATTAAAAGGTGCTGAATACAAAATGAAGAGGCAAGCCACAGACTGGTGGAGAATATTTGCAATGCATAGAAGTGACAACGCAATAATATCCAGACTGCTACCAACTTATCAGATAAAGACAAACCACCTGATTTTTAAAAAAAAAAAAACAGGCCAATGAAACAGGCCACTAATAAAAGATAAAGTAAATAGCAAATTACTGATAATTGGAAAAATGCAAATGAAACCACGATGAGATATATCATACTTTTCAAGTTGGTAAAAGGGAGAAGCCTGGCAGCGTGTGGGTGAAGGTGTGGGACCCGGAGGCCCTGCTCTGCTGGGGGAGCGGTACGCAGAGGAACCTCTCTGAAGAAGCAGCTAGCCAGCCCGAGAAAGTTAAAGGGCCGCATGTCCTCCACCCAGCCCTCCACGCCCAGGTGGTCCCCTGCGGAAAGGCTGGCACCTGTGCACGTGAAGGCGCGGACAAGAGATATGGCTGCAGCATTATTCGTGATCGTGAAAAACTGGAAAAGATTAATGTTCACCAGTAGGACCACGAATGAATAATTTACGGCATATTTACTGGTACATCAGAGCACTACGCAGCACTGAAAACAGTGCAGTATCTGCGGATCACACCCAGAACTGATGAGCAAGCCCTGGATGGAGGAAGCCCGTAGGGAAGTGTGTTAGGAGGTGAGCATATCCCAGATGCACATGTACCCCTGTGGCCAGCGGGGCAGGCTTCGCCGGAGGAGGGCGGGTGAGTGCGCGCCTGAGCGCGTGCACAGCTGGCTTTAGTCTATCTGAAATGTGCGATACACTTTATGTTGGGCAGTGAGTACTTGAGCATTTATTTTGTTTTAAAAAAAGCTTTGCATCTGAAAATTGTTTTTTATTTTCTGCCCATAAACGGAGTTGCCTCTTCCCTTTGTAAATAAAAACGAATTCCATCAGAACTGTGCTAAGACTACAAAAATGCTGGATAAAAGCCAAGCACTGAAGTAGGCCTTCAACCAACATTGGATAAGGGAGCACATGATTATGAAACCCACCATCTGCAGTGATGGCCAAATGCATCGTGTGCTGGTCTTGAGCCAGACGCTGGCCCAAACACTTACCTGCATTGTTTCCCCTAATCCTCCAACCACCCTCTGAGGTCGGCATTATTGTTGCTCCCACTTTACAGAAAGGAGCTGCGCAGGAGGAAGCCCGGAGCCCCAGTGGAGCCGCGGCGGGAGGAGCGGGTTCACCTCACGCATCCTAAGTAGCATGCACAGGTCTAAGAAGCATAGGGCTCCCACCTGGGGACCCGCTATCGCTCGGAAACTTTAATCCCGAAAAGAAAAAAGTCAGTCCTTTGACTGGGAACTTCTGTGGGAGGGCCATTTTCCTCCTTGGGAATGAGAATTCTATGTCTTCCCCGCCAGCCCTGTGCCTTCCCCCTGCGCTGGCAAACCCCTCAAAGACCACTTTGCGGGCAATTGACTCAGAAGCATCAGATCCTCTGTGAGCAGTGGGACTCCAGGCAGCGCTACAATAAAGCAAATTGGGCCCCTGCGAGCTGAACAGTAATTGTACCCTCAGCCAGCTCCCCCCGGGCCCGCACTGCTTCCTGGGACTCAGTGGGCACTTCTGGGAGCCGCCTTAACTCGTTCAGGCCACTGGGGTGCCGTTCGCGGAGGCAGCCACTCACTGAATGAGACCCTGGAGACCCCAAAGAGTTAAGGCAGCTTCCGAAGGACCTAAATTTTTTTCCTCAAACTGGGACTTGCATGCTGGGAGGATATTGCTCAATATTTTAAAAGCTCACATTATCTAAGCGGCACCATCATGTCTCGTGCTGCCCCCTCGCATGGAAGGAAGAGGGAGAAAACGATGCTGCGGGCCGGTGGCAAACAAGGAAGGGCCAGCGAGGAGCCGGGAGAACCCACTTCCCAGTGACAGGCGGCCTGTGGCTCCCAAGCAGGCGGCACTGTCACTGCTGCTTCCCCGCCTCGCGCCTGGGTGGTCTGGTCTTTAGGACTCAAAACCCTTTCAAGACTGGACATGAGTGCCCCTGCTAGTGCGACGGTTACTCTCGCCTTTGTAAGTAAAAAAAGTGATGCACTAAGAGTTTGTTAGCACAACCAAATGCTGTTTTCCCAAAATGGGAATAAATCATGTCACAGGCCCCGCTCTGAGGGGGTAGACTCAGGATGGGCAAGGAGGGGTGCTGACCCTCACCATCCTCTCTGGGCACCGCACTTGGAAATAATTGTTGGTCACCCTTGTTATTACACTTAATGTTACTAACCTCTCATCCATGGGCAGCTAGGTCTATGCTTGGTTTCCACGAGAATGACTAAGCACACTTAATGGCATGAACTCAGCACCCCTAGCCAGGCAGTTAACCTAAGAACATGTGCCTGCATACGTGCACATGTGTGCACACACACACACACACACACACACACACATGCACACACAGTCTCACTTCCAAGTACAATCACTCCACACTAGGAAATAAATACGTTCATCTCCACGTTGCCCACTGTTCTGCTCATCTATATAACAAACCACCCCAGAATTGAGTGGCTTAAATAACAGCAATCAGATATTTGGGTCAAGGGCCTGCAGTTTGGGCAGAGCTCGGCAGGCAGAGGTTCCTCTGGCTCAGTCAGCTGGGGCAGCTGACGGGGGCTGAGGGACCGGCTTCCAAGATGGGGCACTCACAGGGCTGGCGAGGTGGTGCTGGCTGTGGGCAGCGAGCGCAGCTGCGAGACCAGGGGCTTTGGTTCCCCTCCAACTAGGTTTGTACGTGGGGCTGCTTGGTCTTCCTCACAACATGGCAGCAGGGTTCTAAGAATGAATATCCCAAGTGACAGAAGAAGCTACAAGTCTCTCGGGGTCTGGAAATGTCACTTCTGCCTTATTCCATTAGCTGCGCCATCACAAAGGCACGTGGAGTCATGGGAGGGGACACGATGCTGCCTCTTAAAGGCCGCCACGTGAACTCCTTTGCAGCATCTCACATCCACAGATCTCCTTTTATTTTCTCCCATGTGTTCAGCCCCTTGGTTGTCTGTCCCAGGCAGTGAGGAACTTTACACTAATTGCTGGGGATTCCCTAGCTCACCACCTGCTCTCTCTCAAAGCGTGTATTCTAAGAACTGTCTCCCACAACTGCATCCACAGCTCTAGCTCCCCCTGGCTATTATTATGGGATATCTCTGTGCACCTTGAGGGCCTGCAGTGGCTCCCTTTGCCTCAGAGCATCCTCAACTGAAAGCCAGCAGGACCTGTCCATGCTGGCTAGGGGATGCCTTCTCCTCTGGGCCAGCAGTCCATGATGGAAAGGTTCCTAGAAGAACGAAGCCCAAGGCTCTCAGCAGGAAAAGAACAGCAGTCAGGTTCACCCTTCCTGAGAGCTGAGTGGCCCACTGAGAAGTCGCTGGCTCTGTGCTGTTTCCTCTGTGAGGCAGCAAACCTCCTCCGAGTCTGCACCTGGAGGCAGCTACCCTCCTCCAACTCTGCACGTGAAGGCAGCTACCCAAGCATCATATGGGGAGGGATAGCATCTTCTTGTGCCCAAAGGGAGCGGAGGCACTAGCCAGGCAGACACCTGTCCAGTGGGCCAGGGGCAGGAAAGAACAGGTGTGCTTTGCTCTGCTCGGCCCTGCAGCACTGCCTGAGGGAGCCCGGTGGTTCAGACTGGCCAGGTTACGTTCTGCTCTCCACTAACCACTGGGTGACCTTGGCCACATTATATACCGTCTCTAACCCTCTCCTTGCTCGTGTATAAAGTGGGATACAAATGGCCTCACTTCCCGGGGTTAGTGTGAGGGCTTGAAAACACCGAGCAAAGCGCCTGGGTGAGTCTCACCAGCTGCAGCCCTGGCTGAGGACTCCCCCATGACCTCCCACAGGGAGTGATGGCCGGGCGAATGGAGGAGCCTCAGCTCTCACTGGAAACTTGGTGTCTGACTCCTCCCCTCGGGGCAGCTCCCTGCTGGGGCTGCAGGGCCCTGAGTCTCCACCTGGCAATTCCTTCTTACCAAGACAGCAGCCAAAAGCTAAGTAGGTTCACTCCTTAACACACTAAGTTGTTCTTAACTCTGGAGATGAGACAATGGGACTAGAATTTAATGTGAAACCAACCATGTTTGTACCTGCCTAGCAGTTAATGCAGATGTACATGTAAACAATGACAGGGGTCGGGGGACAAGTGTCCTTGCCGTGGGTTTGGAGGAGTCAGATATGAGAGAAAGCTAGAGGCTACAGGGAAGTTATTTGGGGAGAAGATGCCACAGAAGCCCCTCTGGGGAGTTTTTCTGGGGAGTCGGCGCTGCAAGGCACGAGCTGTCAAAACTCAGGACTTTCCAGGTCTAGGCAAGTGGTGGCCACTGAGGTGGGGCAGACATGACCTTCACCATGACCTTCGCCAAAGCCCTGCCTGCACATGGACCACCCCTTCTGTGATGGGTCTGATAGAGTCTGGCCCAGTGTAATAAGATCCCATCACCCAGGGACATAACCCTTTCTGAGTAGGGGCGACAACTCAAAAATTTCTTGTGTTCATTGTGTCAGAACAAAGAATATTCAAGATCATCTTAATTTTCCTTGGGCCCAAAATGAAAAGAGCCAGGTATAGAGAATTGCGATCTGCCACACAAATTATTCCAGAACTCTCTTAAACCTGCTCAGGAGTCTCTGAGTCCATTTGGGCCATGGTTTCCATGACAGCCAATACATGCATGAGGCTTTGAGGTCAGTGGCCACATTCCACAGGACATGGCATAACTTTAAGTCCTGATATTTCCAAGGTCTTCATAGACAACCTGAAAGAACACTGTCCTATGGATATAAAATCCAGATGAGAGAGGTTACAAGGACCTGTGTTCCAGTGGCTGTTTTCTGTCTTCATCTTCAGCTCAGGTTCTACCTGCGCTACCCCTGAACACCGCCTACATTCCCCTTTTCTTTCCACCATCAGCTTTTCATTAAGAAGCCTGAGGGCATGGCTCTGGCTCCGGCATTAGTCAGCACTTAATAGAAATAACATGTTGGTAGACATGTCGGACTTAACAAAAGAATGTTGATGTTTAGAGACGATTAAAAGCCTGTAATACCCTGCTTGTCCAGGGTTCACAGAAGTGGACTCCAGAGACCCCGAACAGGGCAGGTGTCCATGGTGCGGGGAATCGCGGTGACAGGGCCTCAGACTACACGTGGGAGTTAGTGTCCTGGAAGCTGGTGGGAAGGTCATCGGGATGGTGTCTGCTTCCATGTGCCCTGGACTTCACCATCATCATCTTATCCACCCTCACAGTCTCCCAGCAAAGAGCTGTTCATTACACTTTACAGATGAGAAACTGAGGGTCAGGAATATTTCGTAACTTGCTCAAGGGTGCACAGCTACTAAGCAATGGCTCCAGGGCGGAGCCTGCTCTCTTTGGTCGAACACATGGGCCATAATGCCTGCAACTCCCAGGACCAGGTTTGGGAAACAGAAACCAATCTCAAGGTTCACTTATAGTAGGAACTGTGCACTACCATGGGGTCCAAGCTCAGAGGCCTACAGGGTGCGGTGACATAAGTGAGGAAGGTGCATAGGGTGACATGTTAGGGCGTGGGGCACTGGGTGAACTGAGGGAACAAGACCTTCTGTCTGAGAGGGGTGCCCCTAACCATCTCCATGCTGTTGGTTTTGCAGCTACCAGTTTTTCCAGAGAAACTGGACATCTGATTTTCTGGTAAATGCTTTCTATTTTGAAAAAAAAAATGGCCAGTAATTCATGTTTAATCCCTACAAGTCAAATAAAGCACATTCTGGGTGTGACTTCGTAGCCTCTGCTTTGGATGGAGTCTCCATAAGGGGAAAACTCTGTCTCCTTTATTCTCATAGCCCAGGCGCTGGGACAGAGTCTAGATGCTTCATACACTTTCGTACAACAAATGAAGGAATTCTCAAATCAGAGACCCGGAGGGTAAGCGAGTGCCAAGCCCTGGCTCTCAGACTCAGAGCACTTTCATCAGAGCCGGGCTGCGAGGCTGGGGGGAAGACACAGCACGCAGATGAGCCCGCACCCACCCCACGCCAGGGACTCTCGCTCAGGGCGAAGGCTGCGTGCGCATGGTGTTCCTTTCAGAAGGCAACACTGATCTGAAGACTGGGTGAGACTGAGCTGTCTCCAAACATGGGGGCTGTCAGAGCAGGGAGGCTAGAAATAAAACCTGAGCCATCTCCTAGCCCAGTCCCTCTTTCCAGTACATCCCCAACGTCCCAGTTATCCAGCCTGTAGAATGGGATGAATGGGGTTTACAAGTCCCAATCAGGGAGGAAAACAATGATTTAATGAACAAGTTACTTGGCATGTGTGGTGTGTTTTTGTTTTTGTTTTTTTAACCAAGAACATGCCCAAGTATTCAATGCCTAAGTCATCTTTGGAAATCCTTAAATATTTCTGGTTAATAAGTTAGATGAAACATTAGCAAAGGGGTTTCCAATAAAACCTGCCTACGCCCCATCTGTCTCAGTCTATTTTCAACGTGAAAGGGAGCCCATATTCTCTGCTCTTTGGCTAGAGGTGTATTTTTTAATAATAACTCAAAATCAATAGTCAAGCAAAAACTAAGTCCTCATAAAGACGCATTTCCAATGGTACAATAGCTTTCAGTAGATTCAACACGAGGCAGATCTCACCTCCGGGAGCTCTGTTCTGAGACAAGGAAAACCCTTATGCCAGTGCTGCAACCAGCTGCCACCTGTCACCACCAGCCACCACCAGCTACCACCAGCCACCACCAGCTGTCACCTGCCACCACCAGCCACCACCTGCCACCACCAGCTACCACCAGCTGCCAGCTGCCACCACCAGCCACCACCAGCTGCCACCTGCCACCAACAACCACCACCAGCTGTCACCAGCCACCACAAGCCGCCAGCAGCTGCCACGAGCCAGAGCGTCGGCCCAGTGGACTCTCCTGGTGCCTGTGGCTGTGGGAGGGAGCACTGCTTCATGCTCCCACAGACTGCACCTCCATTTGCACGGTTGGCACAATCTGGTGTTCTGGCACTTGAGGCCCTGGTGCTGGCAGGACTGGTGTTTGAGATGATCAGCCATCCTGTGACTCCTGTCTCAAGACACAGACTGCTTTTCTAGCTCCCGGAGGAGCTGGTCTCTTCTCTGGCTTCACGCTGGGATTTCTGCTGAACAATATAGCTCCTTTAGCTAAAGGGATAATAGTTCTCCAGAGTCATCTGCTCACCCATCCCCAGCCCTTCCCCATCCTGGAGATGAGCCTCGCTTGACTCGTTATTGAATAGCACAACCTTCTCCTCTAAGCAACCAGAGACCACTACGATGATATGAAAATCAACAACTTCAGCTTCCAATCATTCCACAAGTATCCCAAGAGCACTGTATGGTGATACAGCATCAAAAATAACAATACTGACCTTTAGGAACAGTGGGAGAAGGCGCAGCAGGCTCTCCTGGCGGTCAGCCGGGCTCCTATGAGCCAACTGCTGATACTCCAGAAACTTCCTCTCTACCGTCTCCCAGAGAGCCGTGGGGCCCGGGGACTGCACTCCAGGGGGGGCGTCAGACTGAGCAACATCGGGCTGGCCAGCTTTGGGACCTGGATCCTCAGCTCCGTCTTCAGCCTTTGAGACACCTTCTGCCTCCATGCCTCAGCAAACAGCTCTGGATTCAGAACAAAAACAAAGATGAGAAGTCCCGACACAGCACTTCCTGATGCCGCTGGCGGTGGGACAGGCCCTGTACCATTCAGTCCAGTTCCTACTGAAGCTGGTTCCTCTAAGAATCTGAAACCAGCTAAAATAAGAAGGCATTTTCAAAAAGAGATTCCGATGTGACTCACAGAGATTGACAACCTAACATGGGCGGGCTTTGGGCACAGATTTGCATGAGAGGTGGGTATTCTGATTCTCTCTGTACGGTGAGGAAACTACTGGGCCAAAGGCATAGGAGCAGCTAGATGTGTAGCTGAGATGCAAACCTCTAACACCAAAGCTGTTCCCTTACCACCTGGTGCTGCTCCTCTTTTAAAAGACTGAGTTGATAGAAGAGACGTGTGCAAATTATCTCACCAAAATTTGTAGAAGCAAGTGATTGTATGTCTTCAATTATAACTTCCTTCCACCCCACGTGTCCAAAGGATATAGCTTCTTCATTCTCAGCATTATTTGGTTCACTCTCAATATTTTTAGAGGACTTTGTCCTCGAAACGACTTCTTGAGCCCCACACTAACTGGAAAGTGCTCCTCTCTTAGTGTAAACAGGAGCGAGTTGCGCAAGCTGGAGACTTCGGGGCAGGAGGCACAGGGCAAAAACCTCCGCAGTCAAAACAGCCCAAGACTGACCTGCAAGATACTGACCTTGAGAAGGTGCCTTTTTGTCTGTGTCCTTGACTTTTCAGTTGCCATGACTGACTCAGCACAAGAAAGGTTTGTTTGTTGTGCATTTGTCAAGAGTGTAGAAAGCTCCCAGACTGTCCAGGCTCCCTGCAAGGAGCCCTCCCCCCAACCACAGTATCACCATGCAGAGTCCATCGGGAGCCCGGCCAGCAAACAGCAACCACTGCTCACAGGGTGGGGGTCAGGGTGGACACCACAGTGGGGTCACCAGTGTTTTGCTCTGGGCTACAGTCATGGAGGAGACCTCATGCTTTATGTTTATTTCACAGGCGGGCATGGCAGTGAACTCAAGATCATGTGGCCAGACTAACCATCCCCTCTTTGAAACTTCCTCATTCTTTATGTACAAAACTCCATTATCACACATACTTATTAGTCAAACTTCACTTTCAGAAATCATTTCCTTTTTATAAGGTCATGTAGGTACAATATTGAACACTGGGAAGGAACAAAATATTGGGAAGAATATCAAGGTTTGCCACACCCAGAAAAATGGCTGCTGATAATCCTGCTTCTATGAATATACTAGAGGCCAAGTGCATGAAATTCATGCACTGGGAGAGGGGTGTCCCTCAGCCCAGCTGCACCCTCTCCAATCTGGGACCCCTCGAGAGATGTCCGACTGCTGGTTTAGACCCACAGGGATCATGCCTAAACCAGCAGTCGGACATCCCTCTCACAATCTGGGACTGCTGGCTCCCAAACGCTCGCCTGCCTACCTGCCTGATTGTCCCTAACCACTTCTGCCTGCCAGCCTGATCACCCCTAACCACTCCCCTGCCAGCCTGATCACCCCTAACCACTCCCCTGCCAGCCTGATTGACACCTAACGCTCCCCTGCTGGCCTGATTGCCCCCAACTGCCCTCCCCTGACAGCCTGGTCATCCCAAACTGCCCTCCCCTGACAGCCTGGTTGCCCCCAACTGCCCTCCCCTGCATGCCTTGTTGCCCTCAACTACCCTCCCCTGCTGGCCTGGTCGCCCCTAACTGCCCTCCCCTGCTGGCCATCTTGTGACACATGGGGGCGGCCATCTTGTGTGAGGATGTGACAGTCAATTTGCATATTACCTCTTTATTATATAGGATAGCTTACTAAGAACACACTAATAATACTGTTGAGACAAACATGTTTTATTAATACCTTTGCTTTTGTTGGTGGGTTGGCTGGGAGTTGGGGGCAGTTATTTGTTTCCTGTTCTGGGTTGATCCTTAGAGACAGGTAGGGTTGGGGGGCACCTTACACTCCTCAATCCCAGCACAGCCTCTTCCCTGACCCCTGATCTGGGCCAGTCTCCTCTTTGTTAGTTTATTCATTTATTCTTTGGCCCTCCATTCGCGTGCCCACTCCCTTCTTCCCCACCCTGCCCACCGACGTGACGGCAGTGTCCTTATGAAGCCTGGCACGGGAGAGGCTCCTGGACGCATGCATCTCAGTTCCCTGAATGACCTGTGTCTTCTCTGCAGGCCACTGTTTCACTCAGCATTATGTCTTCAGACCTAGCTATGTGGCGCTATGTTTGTCAACCTCATTTCCTCTGGCTGCTACCCATGTTACACAGTGGGCATCACGTGCCTATTTGACTTGTCTGCTCTGCAGTGACGATGGCTAGATTACCCTCAACTTCCCATACGGCACCACTCCTGCCCTTAACCCCATGCAGGCCTCCGGGGCCACACGTGGCTGGCTTTGGCTATGACCACGGGAGCAAGATGCTGAGTCAGGGTCTATACCTGCTCAGTTCAACTATGTGCCAGCAGCTAAGATGCCTCGAGAAGCTGACAGCATACCACCCTCCCACAGAGCAGGTGAAGGCCCCCTGCCATCTCACCGCACCCTACTCAGCACTGCCCAGCTTTCTGACGTTTGCCAGCCTGACTGCAGTAAGCGGTCCCTTGCTGTCATTTTAATTTGCATTTCTCTAACCTGCTGATGAGTCGGAGCATCTTCGCATGCCTGTTAGCCTTTTGGATTTGCTCTTCGGTAAACTGACTATTCATAACCTCTGCTCATTTTTCCTTGCCTGTTTTTTTCTTGTTTTGCAAGAGTTATTCTAGAAATGTGCTCCTTGTTTGTTTTAAAAATTACAAATATCTTCTCTCAATCCATTTTTAATGTGTTTTATTGATTTTAGAGAGAAGAGAAGGGAGAAGATAGAGAGATAGAGACATCGAGAGAGAAACATCATTGAATGGCTGCCTCCTGCACGCCCCCTAATGGGGATCAAGCCCTCAACCCAGGAATCGAACCAGTGACCCATTGATTCATGGGTTGATGCTGAACCACTGAGCCACACTGTCTGGGCCTCACAATCCATTTTTAATAAATTTGTTTATAAGTTCCTTTTTGTCACTAAAGCATAGCATGAATATTGTATGCTGCTGAGGGTCCCCACTGTTGGTCGTTAACCTACTAACCCTGTACACTTACACATCCCAGTGGTTTCCATTATTCACCACCAACAACACGAGCAGCAGCTTCGCTGGATGCCTGTCCACATATCCATGAGTAAATAACAGGTCACCGCACACCCCTAAGTTCCTGAAAGAAAGTAGCTGGACCTAAAGGCAGATAACTTTTTCCGGCTCTTGACACATTTCCAAACAGTGTCTCCAAAACGCTCACTCAATGTACAGTCCTACAAGCGCGTGTGAGTTCACACAGCCTCATCATATGTTTACTCTCGCTGCTCCGTGGGAAAACAACCGCGTCTGCTGTTTCTCACTGCGGACCCTGTGGAAGCCGGAGCAGCTGAGTGTGGTTCTGCCCTCTGCGCTCGGGCCCGTCAGGCCTCCCTGCGTGGCTCTCTGCAACCGACTCTGCATGACTCGCGAGCTCCTGGAGGAGAGCTCACCCCTTCCCCCCCCTACAGCTTCATTTGCCCCTGAGAGCCACACACATTCCCCTCAATGTCAGCTCGGAGAGGGAATGCCATTGAGCCTTTCTCAGCAGTTGGCAGTGTAGATGCTCAATAAAATGTTAGTGAATAAATAAATGAATAAACCTAAAAGCTGATGGCACCCAAAGCTCTCTCTCTGTGGCCTAGACCCCCCTCTTCTAAACAAGTGCTTTTTCTCATTCTGAGACTTCTACTTGGATCTCCTCCAGACTCTGAAAGTCACCATGTCCAATCAAACTGCCAGCCCCTCACCCACAGAGCCAGCCCCGCGTCAGGCAGGGACAGCCAACGCGCTAGATGGCTGTTAGGGCCACGCTAAGTGTCGTCTCTGTCATAGGAAAGCCACTCATGGCCACACCTGCCGCTGCCACCAACTGGTCATTCAATGAACCATGTCTGAGGCCGCCCCAACATGCCACGTTTGTGGGATAAGCAGGTGACGGACAAGGTGAGCATCCGGTCAGGATGCAAAAACAGCGTCCTGGGGCCGCAGCTGGACATGCAGGGGAAACGCCGGAACAGCCAGGTCTCCTCTGAAGCCAGAAGCCGTGTTGATAGAGTGTGAAGACGGGCTCGTGTTCCCCTGAGTGGACAGAGCTCTTCGAGAAACATGAGTGTCTAACAAGCAAGGGTCTGTGCAGTCCACGGAGAAGCCGTCTCACCCCAGAGTCAAGCTGCCCCTCCGGCCCCTCCCCCGCCTAGGCCCGCTTAGCTACAGGAGGGACCAGGGAGAGGGCCCTCAGCACTGCGGGAAGAAGGGCAGAAACCCCCCTTACCCCTCTGCTGTCAAAGGCGCCCTCTGTCAGCACCAGTATCTCTTATCCCAGCAAAAAGGGGCCAGTTGGGGGCGGGTCCGGGGGAGGCCAGGGCAGGGCAGGAATTAGGGTGAGGCAGGTGACGCACCCACCCCCAGGAACAAGATTTAAGGGGCATTACAAAAATCTCAGTGGCCGAGTTAGTATTTTAATGAAATCTTTTTTTTAAATCAAATTTAAGGCCAAACATGCACAATGAACAAAATATCAAAATGTTAATGCCCCCTCCAGGCCTAGCCTTCTGTAGATTCCACTTTAATACATGGCGTAGTGGCCTCGAGGACAAATGTGAGGGGATAGACCGCAGACCAAGCGATGAGACGCATCCCTGCCTGTGTCCTGTCTGTACACGGGACAGTCAGAGGCCCCCTGAAGGGGCCATGCCCACTGAGTCTATGCCCAGCCGTGTCATTTGTAGGGTTGAGGGAAGGGCACCTCCTTGGTGCTGGAATTTACATGTGCGGCTTCACTGAACCTTCCTGCCATCCAGCGATGGCAAGACGGTGGGCTTCATCCGCGTGAGTCTGCGGCCTGGACA